TTGCTAAGCAAGAGCGTTGTTAAGTGAGTTTCACCACATTTTACAAGTTGCCCATGCCCACCCAGTCACATGGCTAGCAAGCCACTCCTACTCAGTCACATGGCCGCAAGCCACTTCCACCCAGTCACTTGGCCGGCAAGCCACTCCCACAAAGCAGGCCACATCTACATAAGAGGTTCTAAAAAAAATTGAAACCCACCACTGCACTGTACACATTTAAACCACTTCTATTTTTGTGCACTTTAATATTTTAGCTGAAAGAGACATGGACTGTTGGCAGAAAGTACATCAGAGTGGGTGGATTTTTCCAACTCTGATCCTTTGTATTTATGGTTTCTTTACCATGATGAGGCCATCTGAACCTTTCCTCACACCTTACCTTACTGGACCTGAAAAAAATCTGACAATTGATGAGGTATAGTGAAATATGTTTTATATGTGAGGGAATTTATTGGGTAGAAATAAGATGCAGTTGTTGGAGGGCTTTTGTGACACCCCCTCCCCGATACCAGTTAAATTGCATGCATGTTAAATCCATGATGTAATTTTGTCGGCTGTGATTCATCAGCACAAGTAGCTACAGATATTTTACATTTCATCAATTTTACCACTTCTCCATAAACTGAACTGGTTATTGGTATTTTTCCAAGTGTAATTAATGGTGTTGATTGTCCTCTACCTTCATATATTTCATATACTTCATGGCTGAAGGCCTCACTAAGACCAGCTTTCTTCTGTTGTTTCCACCTGCTGTTCTGATTTCTGGATGATTTGGCTTACTCTAGTTTCCAGGCAATGTTGTTTCATGGTATTACAGTAATGCTTAAATGTTTGCAAACCTTTTTGAATTTTCAATATTTCTGCATAAATATTATCTAAAACATGATCTATTCTCCATATGTTTTAAATAAGTCCTAGATAAACAGAAATCAATTAAACAAATAAGCCAAAAACTTATACCAGTTTGTTTAGTTATTGAGGAATATGATCCAAAGCTATGTATTTATGTGGAGCAAAATTTCTAGGATTATCAATTCATTTGAAGGGGAAATTAAACCCAAACTAGAGAAATTAGGCATTTCACAAACTTTTAAGCATGACTGCAAACGACTTTCCCTGGTGGTAGCTGAACCTGCCCTGCTCCAGAGGTCTTCATGACTCCAACTCCATTGGGCTTTGATGAAGCCATTAGAACATGGCTTTTCTGATAGATACAAGGTATCTATCTATCTAGGTTCAATCATATGCATATTTTATAGTTCTGCTTTATAAAATTTCTCCTTTTTGTCTTCTAGGTAACACAACATATTTTTCCAGTTTGGACATACTCCTACCTGGCCCTGCTCTTCCCTGTATTTCTGATTACAGACTATGCACGCTATAAACCTATAATTATTCTACAGGGGATTAGCTTAATTGTTACTTGGGTGTTACTTTTGTTTGCATCTGGCATACCAGCCATGCAGCTGGCAGAGTTTATGTATGGACTTGCAACAGCCACAGAGGTTGCCTATTATGCTTATATATATAGCGTTGTCAGTGCTGATTATTATCAGAAAGTGACAGGTTATTGCAGAAGTATCACCCTGGTGGCATCTACCATGGGATCTCTGCTTGGACAGCTTTTAGTTTCTTTAGGCCAAGTACCTTATTTTTATCTTAATGTCATAACTTTAGCTTCTGTGTCTATGGCATTTATATCTTCATTTTTTCTGCCCATGCCACAAAAAAGCATGTTCTTCCACAGAAAGTCTTCCCCAGAACCTTTCATTGGATCAGTAGAGAAAGTTACAATGCAAATTTCCGACCAACAAACCAATCAACAGGACAAAGAGATGACAATATCAGTGGCCAGACCCCAGGATTTACCTGAACACGAGCCATCCAAAATTAAACTCCAGAGTCACTTTCTGTCAATCCTAATGCAGTTGTGCCTGGATCTGAAAGAATGTTATACTACTAAAAAACTTCTGTATTGGTCAATGTGGTGGGCTTTAGCTACTGCAGGATTTAACCAAATTTTGAATTATGTGCAAGTACTGTGGGATGATAAAGCGCCTTCTCATAGTTCTGAAGTTTATAACGGAGCTGTTGAAGCCATAGCTACATTTCTGAGTAAGTAAGCTTAAAATTTATCTTATACATTACCAACCATAAATGTTGAGTACACACAATTGAAACACTAAATTCATGCAAAATTGTGTTCAAACATGTACACATATTTTGATTTATATAAATGGTTGTTTATTTCAGTGGACCTAAAGGATTACAATACAAGTAGTCCTCAGTTTATGACCATAACTGGAGCCATAACTTGTGTTGCTGAGCAGAGTGATTGTTAAGTCAGTCACCTCCAATTTTATGACCATTTTTCACTGCGATGATTGAGCAAGTCACTTTGTTGTTAAGCAAACCTGGCTTCTCTCATTTACTTTGCTTGTTGGAAGTCCCCAGGAAGATTACAAATGCCTATCATGTGACCGTGGGATGCTGCTATGATCATATTTTTTTAGGGAAGTTTTTTTTTAATCTGAATTTTGTAAAAATGTTTAGTTTTTGTTATATGAACAATTTTATCATGGGATCAAAATTTGGGTATGTTGCACTCCAAATTTTGACTAGATGACAAAATTGTTCATAACAAAAAATATGTTACCTCATATTGAAAAACCATAACGCTAAGCACAAATTGTACTGTAAATTCTTAAACATCCTGAAGGAGATGGACAGTTAAGAAATATGAAATATTTTAAAAAATTACTATTTTCTATCTGCAATTTTTATTCTACAACCTCAAAAAAACTGATTCAACTTTAGAGCAGATATTACAATCAAATAGGAGATAACAAGAGGGGGGGAAAAGTAACAAGGAATATAATTTAATTTAGTAATTTAATAAATTTATATGCCGCCCAATCCCGTAGGACTCCAGGCGGCTTATAAATACAAAAGTAAAATAAAATAAAATATAGGGGAAAACGAAAACAGATTTAAAACAACACACCATGCACTCAGACCTAGATGGGGGCTGGACCTCATTCAAGGGTCAACAGCCCCAGGCCTGCTGGAACAGCCAGGTT